GGGAAAGTGTTCTGGCTATGTGTGGAGTTCCTCTGAGGGATGGGAAGTTGTGATGCTGTTGGAGTTTTGGGATCCTGCCTTGGTGTACTAATGAGTGCCTTTTCATCTGTGTGCGTAGAAGTGTACTGGCTTTAGAACTGTTAGTATCTTATTTTTAATAACTCATTTTTAAATTTTGTTTCTGTATGGCTTTTTAGTGCCTCCTTGTGGTGAACTGTATTAATGACAGTTACATCGTGACATACAGGTGAAGGGTGTTATGCTAATTTTTTTTTTTCTGTGCTGTTTATATTTCAAAGAAACATTGACGGTAACCTCATAGAGTTATGTATAGTTTTCTAGTACTTCATCACTATTTGATGGCTCATTAATTCAGTGAATATTAGGTATCTACTATCAGGCTGTAATAGTTAAGTACTTATGAAATATCAGTGAACAAAACAGACAGATACTCTTTCTTGGGTTTGTCAAGCTAAGCAAGCATAGTAAATTAAGAGATCATGTGCAAGCACACTGGAAGCCAAGCTGTGGAAAGGGAAAGAAATAGAGCAGGAAAGGTGTACTAGGAGTACTGGAGAGGGACATCGGATTTGCAGTGTGAAATGAAGGGGTCAGGGAGCCCGTGTTCAGAGAGCATGAACAGTGTGACCTCACCTAAGCTGTTGTCATTAGGTGTGGTTTTTTTTTTTTTTTTTTTTTTGTTTGAGAGGAGGTCTTGTTTTATATTGCAGGTTGGTCTTGAACTCACTATGTCATCCTGGCTGGCCTAGAACCCACAGCAGTCCTCCTGCCGCCTCAATTCTGGGATTACAGGGATCCACCAGCACACCCAGCTTTGTCTTCTTTATATTTGTCTTCTGTATTTTATATTTTTATATACTTTAGCCCTGTGGAAAAGCCATTGTTCTTTTAAATGCCAGTATTGACTTACATATATCTGTATACTTACGTTTTCATTCCTCTCTGGGAATGAAGAGTTTGTGTTCTAAGTAGGGTCATTTTCTGAATGAATCCTTATAAGAAATTCTCTTAGCTTTCACTCTTCTGGAAGTATTTTTATTTCATGTTAGGGGAGGATGTTTTCTTTTAGTGTGGAATTGGAGGTTGATTGCTTTGGGTTCCTTTTTTGATCTCTGCACCTTAGAGATGTCATTTTTATCTTACTCTATTATTTTTGATGAAAAATCAGTTGTTGGGGAGACTAAGGCTGGAAGATCACTGTGAGTTTAAGGCCAGCCTGGACTGTACAGTGAAACCCTTACTCAGAAGGTCTAAATAAATAAACAAAATAAATAATGCAATCAGCACTATAAAAAATAAAAATAAAAATTAGTTGTTAGCTTTGTTTCTGTCTTAGGGTGATATACTTTATTTTCCCTGGCTGCTTTCAAGATTTTCTCTTTGACTTTAGTTTTTAGTATTTGCATGTCAGTAGGACAGGATTTCCTTTATGTCCTGCTCAGTTCTGTAGAGCTTCATCATTCATGTGCTAGAGGCTCATGTCTTTGGTAAACTTTAGAAAAATCAACCAGTGTTCTCCAAATATTACTGTGTTTTATTCCTCTGTGTTGTAACTCCAGTTAAATGTGTGTTAAATCTTTTTTTCCATGTTGTAAACTCTTGTATTTTATCTCCTTTATCTTTTGTATCCGTTTTTCAAAAGATCTTGGGTCTTCTACTTTACTATTTGGATTTCTTAATGTCAGTGATAGTATTTTCCAGTTCTGTAGTTTATGTTGGACTTGTATATAAGGATTGTAGAACTTTCCTGAAATTCTCTATTTTTCTTTCCCCTCCCCTGAAAGTATTGACAGCAAAAAACTTTGGTAATTTCAAAATTTGAATGATTGTCTTTTAAAATAATTTTATTCCTCTTGATAGCTCATCTTTTTTAATTTTAGATTGATAGGAAATTTATCACCATTTAACAGCTTCATGTCTATAATTCAAGGTTTTTTAAAAAAGAAATACACATAGTTGTATAACCATTGCTGTTGTCTAATTATTTTCTGGCAAAACTAATCTACTTTTGTGGCTCTGGATTTACCTGTTTTTGGTATTACACATAAATAGAAGCATAAAATGTGTCGCCCTTTGGGTGCAGCCTCTTTCACGGGGCGTATCGTCCTGTGCGTCTGTGTTGTGGCATGTATTCGCTCTACCATTTTGTGGCTGAATTGTCTTTTCCGACAGCTGCATCTAGATAGTACACGTTGTTTGTCTGTTGGGAGGCTTGGCTGCCCCCATTGCTCTTCTGGGGTGCACATGCGTGCACAGCCCCTGCATGGGTGTGCCTGGAGTCCGGCATGTGCCCCAGCAGTGGGAGGGCTGCGCCGGGTGGTGAGCGTTCAGCTGTCTGAGGAACTGCCAAGTTGTCTTCGGTGGCTGTACCTTTTTGCTTTCTTGCGAGCATGTATGAGAACTGTTTCTCTTCATTTGTCCCACACTTTCTGTTGTTTTTACTTTTATGCCTTTCATAATACTTTTATTTACCAGGTTGTAGTTTGATGCCATTTTGTAGCTACCATGTTGGGTGTTGGCTATCTGTTTTGAAGAGTGCTGTATGATTTTCAGTAGACTATCAGACATCACAGATGTTCACTTCAGAAGACCATGTTTGTTGTTTTCTGCCAAAGTGACTTGTTTCCTGAGGAGTAGTAGATCACCCTGAGTCTGTTGAAGGTTGATGATGAGGGGATCTAGTTCAGTTTAGGCCCAGTCTGAAAGAGACTCTTGGAAGTTACGGCACAGAACTTGGGTGGTTTGTGAAGACTCCTGTCACAGGCTCCACTCTAGCCTTTGCTGCTGAAGCCCTGGGCAGCCGGAGTGTCTGCTTGGTTCTTTGGCCCTCTGTTATTTTCTAGTAATTTTCTTGAACTCCTGCTTTTTCTAAGTTTTCCTCTTGGTCCTTTTTTCTTTAGTTTCCTGCCTTCTGGTGGTCCAAACTGACTTTTCAGTCCAGAAGGCCTGCTGTTTTCTATATGGGCTCTCTTACCTATACTCAGAAAATGCAAGGAAAAGCCTAGGCAATTGTGCTAGTTTTACATCCTTACTTCCTTTCAAGAGGTATAGTCCCATCTGTTCCTCTTGGACCAGGTTACACCATAGAGTCCTCCAGTTTTATACATTTTTGACATAGTGTTATGTCTTTATTTCTTTTATTTCTTTATTTGTGCTGGGAATTGAACGCAGGACCTCACGCTTGCCAAGCAGGCACTGTGCCGCTGAGCTGTATCCCAGAACCCTATAACTTTGCCTGAGATGGGGTCTTGGTCTATAATTCAGGCTGACCTTGAACTCACTATGTAGACTAGACTGGCCTCAGCCTCGTAGCAGTCTTCCTGCCTCAGCCTCTGGAGTGCTAAGCTTACGGGCATGTGTCACCATACCTGACTCAACAGGTTTTTTAGGTATAACGTTCTGGGAATTGAACCTAGAGTCTAAGCAGTGAGCTACATCCTCAGCCTTTTTCATTTAATTGTAATTAATTAATTTTTTGATTTTTCAAGGCAGGGTCTTGTTATGTATTCCAGGCGAGTCTTGAATTCATGTAATGCAGGATGGCCTTGAACTCAGTGATCTTTCTGCCTCAGACTCCTGAGCGGTGGTATTTGCCACCATTCCTAGTTTAGAATTTCATGATTTTTGTTACCAGGGACACTAGTTTGGTATAAGTTATTGATCATAATGGTAATAATGACTAGTTGTTTTATGAATTAAGTTATAAAAAGTTAAGCAGGCTTAATGATATGCAAAGGTAGTTAAAAGTAAGAGTTATGATTGGAATTTTTTTGTGAAAGCTGAACAAGGTTAATTGTTTAAAGATATAAATTAGATAAGAATATAAGATGAAAGTTTATGAGAAAATAAGCAGTTACCTAGATTTGCTAGCAAAGAAATTAATTCTGAGTTTAGCTGTTAAGAGTTATGCTTGGTTATTTCTGTAACTGGTAGTGATTGATGAAAAGATTGGAATTTTGAGTGCTTATGTGTCTTGGCTAAAGAAGTGTGCTGTAGACAACCATGCTCACAAAATCTGGACAGGTACAGAGTGCGTACCTGGCCATCAGGTAATGTGGAGGAAGTTGCTGAGTGGAACGTGGTATTCAGATCACTGAGAAGCAAGGAGAGAAGACAGAAGGAAGTCTGAAAAAATAATGCCTTCTTAACCTCCTACATCCTTAAAAAACAAAACTAAAAAGAATAGGTGCTTGGGAAAAAAACCCAACCTTTTGGTTTCTCCATCGAAATATCCCCCAGAAGAGAGACAGGTGCTACAGATCGTCTTGTGTCTGTGATTTTCCTTTCGCCCTTTTGTGAACTCTCAAGGTTAGTCAGTGGTTTTCTTCAAAATTTCATTAGGAAATTTGCCAGAGGCATCCTTTTGAGGCAGCTGTCTCTGTACCCTTGGAGGCCATCAGTAATGTTTCCAATCTATAGCAGTAGTTGGCACAAAAATGTTGAACTGAACTGTTGTCTTTGTGTTATAAAACATTCCTCCACTGCTGCCTCTCCCTCCAAGAACCCACCAGACAATAAAACATATATCATGTTTTAGGACTTTGTTCCTTTTATTATTTTTGTTACTGTACCTTTTCATGTAAAAGCCACCATTAGTGAATGTATCCAAATGTTCACAATGAAATACTTCAATTTTTAAACATAATTTAAATACTAGCAAAGATACATTAGAAATAGTTTGTAAATGAGAATTGCATTTGTAAAGAGCCAAAATTTTCATTTCACTATTGAGAATTTATAAATTAAAATACACTGTAATTATGGTCTACTTTTGTCTAAGATGTTTAGATGCTGTGTGTTTGTAAAATGTTGGAGGGTATTAATGATACTAATAACTGCTTTGAATGCATTAGGAGACATTGAAATGCATTTGTTTTGTTCCTGTTCAGTTTAATAATATAGGCAACTGTTATTCCATATGCATCTTTAATATATTAGCCCAACTGTTTGTCTTGTTTTGCTAAACTGTCTTCTTTCAGCCACCCACACAGAATATGCCTATGGGTCCTGGAGTGATGAATCAGAGTGGTCCCCCCCCGCCGCCGCGTGCTCACAACGTGCCTTCAGATGGAATGGTAGGCGGGGGTCCTCCTGCTCCACACATGCAGAACCAGATGAACGGCCAGATGCCTGGTAAGTTTTTCTCCTCTAAGACATTAACACCAGAGTTGCTTAGCAACTGAAACGACATGGGGGCTCAAGGGATACTAGATTGTTGATGACAAAACTGCTTTGAATGCCCCCGAGTACACGCTCTCTTAGAGTTTGTTAGCTACAGAGCTACGTGACCTGTATTCAGTGTTTATCGGCTGCCCTTGGGCTTTGATGTAGCTGACACACAGCGTTCCTCTGCTGAACAGAACTGGCTAAATTTAGTCTGTCTGAAACTGTGCAGTACAGTTGGCTTTAGAAGCTTTTGGGGAAAAAAAGGCATGGTGCCACAGCTTAAGAATTAAGATTGTTTAAAAAGGTTTCAACATTTCTTTGAGTTTTTGTTTACTTAAAATTTTCAGAAATAGTACTGCTTGAAAAAAAAAACACATGGGGAGAAGAAACAAAACAATCATTAAAGTGTTACTGTTTAGTATTTTCTCATTGGTATTATTAAAAATGAATGTAGATTTTTATGAATATGTCTTGATAGTGCAATATAGATAGGAAAATTGAGTCTTGAGGCAAAATTAAACTGAAAATAAGGTAAGCTTTTTTGTATATTGAGGGGTTCCCTTTTCTCCTTTTCCATGTTAACTTCAGAGTCATTGGAATGCTGTGTTTAAAGCCATTGGGTGTTACCTAGTTACTCTTTCCTGAAAAGTATCTTTAAGCATTTTGGTTTTGTAACAAGGGCAACAACTCATACCCATTATTTTTGGTGGAATATTTTCTACCTTTACTATGAAAATATTTTTATTTTTTATTTTATTTTTTACATATTTATTACAAGCCCTGCAGGATCTCACTACGTAGATTGGAATTGTAGTGATTCTCCTGTTTTCAGCCTCCCAAATGCTGGGATGCGCGCCACCATGCCCAGCCTCAAACCTTGTCTCAGCTTGCTGTGGAGGCAGGGCCAGCACGGCATACCAGGGATCAAACCCTGGCCACTGCGCTATTTTTACTTTTAAAGACAAAAATTTTATTTATTATCAGAAATTATATAATTAATTAAAAATTAAAATAACTTACTAAAATTAGTAGCATCCTTCGAGTACTGTCTTTTTCCAGCTGATTGTGCTGTTGGTAGCGTAGGTGTCCAAAGATGACATACTAGAAGAAATAAAGGGGAACACAGGTAGCCTGGGTTAAAGACCAATGTGTGGCTGACGGCGTTGGTGTGGGCATCTGGGCGGATGTGCGTTGGGTTGCTTTGCGCTTCCCACTAGGGCAGTGGCCCACATGCAGTGTGGAGGTCGGGGTAAGACACACTACCTTTTAGGTTGCAAGGAAAGCTGCTCACTAGGTCCACATAAGGTGCGCCAGAAGCATTGTTTGTAAAACAAAAAGGGCAGCGCTAGTGCAGGGTGGACAAGAGTGCTGGGACTTTTATGGTAGTACTTCTAGTTAGGATTTTGACTTAACACTCGTAAAACGGTGGAGTCTAAGACCAAGAACGCATTTGAAAAGCACACACTTACTGATCTGACAGTTCTGTTTTTCTGTAAGGTCACTTAGAATAATTATGTTCTTTTTATAAGATAGAGTTAAAACAGCCATTTCTTACCTTGAATGTCCAGGACACTGTAGAACGTCTAAAGCAGTAGTTAAGAGACTCTCCTAACCAATGGTGTTTATACCTAGGTGTAAGAAAAACTAAAAGGCCAGTAATTTGTATTTTCTTTAAAGCATCTAGCCAACAAATTTACAAGTACAGTGAAGCTTTTTTTTAAGTACCAGGGATTGAACTCAGGACTTTGTGCCTGCCAGGCAGGTGCTTAGTCTACTGAGCTATCTCCCCAGCCCAAGTTTACAAATGCAAATTTGCATCTAGCTCTTAATGTCTTGCTTTCATTTTAATATATTTATAATTTAATTATAGAGCTGCTTTTGCTAATTGATCTTGGCCAGATCACCTAAGTCACAATTCCTTTATAAAGATAATTAAATTGATAAAAAATTAATGTCTGTCTATGGAACACAAATCTGAAGGTGTCGGAGGGTAGATAGTACTTCTAAACAGTTTTAGAGATGCATTGGTAATCCTTGAAGATGTGCTCTCTTTAGAAAAGGGTGTATACTTTCTTTTACCTTTTTAAATAAAAACACAAATGACAGCACTTACTTAATGATTTTTTGTATATTTCCTTCTCAACGAGTTAGAGACCTTAAAGAGCATCATTCTACCCAGTGTATAAAGAGCTGCCTTGTTCTTTTTGGTGACTGTGTCACTTTTTTTTTAATGAATGTAGTCTAATTTAACAGTTCTCTTATGAAATAAGGTTATTTTTAATACTTTGGTGTAATAAATTGGTCACTATGATTATACCTATAAAATGTATGTGTGTATGTTTTGCATCCACGGGGGGAAATATATATCTATATATCTATATCTATCTATATATATATATACATATATATACATATATATACATATATACACACATATATATATGTGTGTATATATATATATACATATATACACACACACTATAACTGAAATTGTTGGATTAAAAGTATACGTACAATTAAGAATTTGATAGCTATTCCCAAATTGTTGTATATAAAAATAATATGGTTAGTTTCAACAGTGTATGGAAGCACTTATCTCTATGTAGTTGGATCTGAGCTTTGAATTTGAAACTCTGAAAGATGAGTATTAGGTCTTAACAGTTTTAATGTGCTGTTCTGCTACATGTGAAGCAGCCTTGTCTACGAACCTGTTTGTAGTTTCTATGTGAGCGGGTCGTTCCCAGCCTTCCTGTGTCTCCCTGCCCCACCCTAATGTACTGGGGGTGGACTTTTGCTTTGTGTGCTAAGTGATCGGCTCCGTTTGTGATCCATCCTGTAAGTTTTTCATAGTTTTATCTTTTGACTATTTTTTGGGTTTGTTTTTGGTCATGTTGAATTTTTTATTTTTACATGGTCTCATTTATCAATTTTTTAATGGCTGTGGGCTTTCTAGTACTCTTACAAAGGACTTTCCCTTTCAAGATAATTCTGTAAATTTTTGGTATTTTAGGGAAGGGTCTACAGGGTGTTTAGGGTCTCACTACTAGTTTGGACTCTCTGTTTACAGCCTCCGAAGAGCTGGGATTACAGGTGAGCCACCATGGCCAGTCTCAATTGTCATCTCAGCGCGCCCTGGGGGCAAGGCCGGCTCGGCAGGCCCAGGGATCAAACCCCCAACTTTAATCCGCTGAGCTATTTGGCCGGCCCTGTTTTCTTTTTTAACATTTAAGAGGGAATGTTTCTTAATGTTTATACTTGCGAATTGGTTTCAGTAGAAGGGATGAGATAGCACTTAGCTCTGTTTTTCAGATGGCTGCACAGTTGTTACAGTGCTGTTCACTAAATCAGTTTTCTGTTGTCCATGGATACTTAATATGGCCGCTGTTATCACTTACCAATTATGTATTTGGGTGTACTTTTAGATTCTGTTCTGGTTCACTGATCTGTAGGACTACTCATTTATGTTAACTAATGCAGTATGCTTTAATTACTCCATCTTTGTATTTTTCTGCCTTACAAAACTAGTATTCTCTTTCTTTTTCAGAATATTACTAGCTTTTCAAAAACACTAACATCTTAACCTCTAAAATGGAAATTATAACGTTCATCTGAAAATATTTGCTGTCATTTGTGTGAATGAATCACTTATGTTATTTGCTATTGATTAAACACTCTTAGTGTTTTCATAATATACAAAAAAGTACCTTTTAAACATTTATATTTTGCTTCTGAACATTTTTCTTCGAAGGACCTAACCATATGCCTATGCAAGGACCTGGACCCAATCAACTCAATATGACAAACAGTTCCATGAATATGCCTTCGAGTAGCCATGGATCCATGGGCGGCTACAACCATTCCGTGCCATCCTCGCAGAGCGTGCCGGTGCAGAATCAAATGACAATGAGTCAGGGGCAGCCCCTGGGAAACTACGGCCCTCGACCAAATATGAATATGCAGCCGAACCAAGGTAACGAACGCTGTGTCCTTGGTGGCTATGGTGTGCTGTGTTAGCCTTTGAAAGGAAAAGACTTCTATCAAGTTGTTAGCTCATTCATAAAAATAAAAGCTAAATTGAAGGCCAATTATATTCATTTAAAGGGACTGTAGAGTTTGAAGGAAGTTCATATCATTTTATTTACTTCTACAAATTAAATTGCTCATTTTAACTGTTAGGATTTTTGAATTTTGTCCTTTGGATATATTTTTTTAAATTGTTTGATCAGTCTAATCAGTGAATTAATCTGTTTAAAGCTAGAAAATTGAGAAAAACAAAGTTTTTATTTTTTTAGGCATAGCCTCTTAAAAATCATCTACTCTAAGGTTTGTTTTACTAACAAACCGTATATTAATTTGTATGGTATTCTGTTAAATAATATGAGTGTTTTTGGTGCTGTGTTTAGCGCTGAAAGGTAACTAAGATGATTACCTGCTGCAGTGTTCAGTGGAGATGCTGCTGTACTCTTAGAATGGTGTGAGTTCATTATAGTTTATTACCAATCTCAGGGAATGAAATTGTTACCATGTTTCTTTTAAGTATCCTGTGAATAATAACCAAAAACCAGTAAGTGGCGCTCTGTTCTTCTAATTGCCTGTTAAAACATTTGGCTTATTGCCAGCTTAATGCTTTTTCACTTAAAAATGTACTGAGTTTAAGAATATGAGATAGAATTAAATATATTTGTAATAAAACTTCCTAGATTTTGATTATAAAACAGCTCATGAAATGTACTCAGATAAAGGAGGTTAAGGTGCTAAAAATTAAGGTGAAATACTACATTGTAATTTTTAACTACAATGCAGATACTGTTTATAATTTTGATGAGATATTTTAAAACACAGGGAGCCAATAGATTAAATTGTCAGTCAGTGTAGCTTCACAAAACTGAGAGTTGCTCTGTTTTTTTTCTTTTCTTTTTTTTTTTTAATCCCAAAGTTATATCTGTTTTCTTTTATTAGGTCACTTAGAGGTTCAGAACAATAGAAGATCCAGTTAGTGCCAGGTCAGAAGGGAGTTGAGCTGTTCCTCAGGGAGTAAGAAGATGTCTACTGACTCTCCCAGGGCTCAGCCTTGACCTCTAGAATCAGAGGGTTAGGCAGAGGTAGGGTGTCTGCAGCGGAGATGGGCACGGAGCAGCATGATGGAGCGCACCTTTGTGAGTTGGAGGATGAGAAGCATAACCGCACCCCAGTGCGTGTGGGGGAATAGTTGTCCCTTAGGAAAAAGAACTGGGTTGGCTGTAGGGATTGTTTCAGATGCAGGAACCAGCTATTTCTTTTTTTAAAAGCTCCTATTTTATGAAGGTGGAGTTTTCCTTTAGCTGTCGTATGTGTTACTTTTTGCTTTGTTCTCCTGATTTGAGTTTTATATAAAAAGATACACAAAAAGTAACTGTAGAGATGTAATTTGGAAAGAACAGAGGATACTTCAGAGTGAAAATAATAAAAATCATTGAAGAAATTTTTGTTTTAACATCCCTTCAGCACAAATAAGCTTTATAAATTTTATTATCTCTGAATCAAAAGAATTCATAGAAAATTATAATTCCAAATATAAAAAAGGAAGTTATAGAATATTCTGGCAGCATCTATTTTCTTATGAATTTAATTATTGAATTCAATTCAATCATAACTTTTTTCTCCTTTACTGTTTTGAAATACTTTTTGCTGTGTAATCCAGGCTGGCCTTAAACTTGAGATCCACCTCCTGGCTCAGCCTCCCAAGTGCTGGGATTATAGACTATATCACTACAGTCAGCTGATATAGATTTCTTAGAAAAATATTTCAGTTATATAGAATGTATTTGATGAAAAAATTATTTAGCAGGATAAAAGTTTTATTAGTGAAGTTTCATTCATTTCATTACAAAGCATTTTTTAAAAAAAATTATGTATTTAGTGGAGTCTATAGGGTCTCACTATACAGATCAGACTTTAGTGATCCTCCTACTTTCAGCCTCCCAAGCGCTGGGATTACAGGCATGTGACACCCCTTTCTCAGCAAACCTCAGGGGTGGGGCTGGCATGCCATGCCAGGGATCAAACCCTGGACCCTGTGTCTGCCGAAGCAGATGCATTGATACATGGAGCTATCTGGCCGGCCCTATAAAGCATTTTCATAGCTAGCTTTAGCTTTTACAAAAATAAACTATGTATGTAACATTAAAATTATTTTTTTGTTTAGTGTATGGAAGGAATTAAAGGAGATTATATCTTAAAAGAAAAGCCTTGAAAAATATCAAAACCCTGTACAAACATTTTTCCTTTTAATATTTTATTACATTTATTGAAATATTACTGTTCTTTGAGTTAAACATACAAAAATCTTTTGAGTACCTCCATACTGCAACGTACTTATATCCCTCTCAAGTATTAGAAAAAATGTTAAAGGTATTTCTTATGGTTAAGTTTTTAGAATCGTGGAAAAGAAATACTTGTTAAAGTTTTTAGGTTAAGCCTGTATGTTGGGCGACTGAGATCGCTCAGCAGTCTAGGCCCCTGCTTTGGCAGGCGCAGGCCATCAGGGCTTGATCCCCTGGGCTTGCATCTGCGCTGGCCCCGCCCCCCGGGTTGTGCTGAGCTGGGAACTGCGCCTGGGCTTGGTGGGGCGTGCCTATAATTCTAGTGCTGGGGAGGCTAAAAACAGGATCACTGCGAGTCCGGGCTGTGTAGTGAGACCCTATACCAAATAAATAAATGAAAAAAATAAATAAATAAAGCTATATACTAAGAGAACATAACTGGTAGAATGCACGATCCTGGGTTTGATATCTAGGACTCAAAGCAAAGCACAGGAATTCTTGGTAATGAAACAAAGTGGAAAAATAATAGTTCAAAGAATTCTGTTTTTAAGAGGAACATTTAATGTCATTGTTTAGCATATTACTTCCATGGATAATATGTGTTGATATATTAGTGATTAGTGAGTTTTGGGAAACTTTAATTGGTAATGTCATAGTAGTTAGCTTTCTTTTTTCTTTCTCTTTTTCCCTGTGGTGCTGGTTCAGGGCCTTGCTCCACTAGTGCTTGTCCTGCAGCCACCCCACCCCAGTCTAGGAGAGGAAGTAGGACCGTCTGGATGCAGGCACTAGGGGCTTTGCGGTAGTATTGTTTTAACCTCACCCTCCTTTGCAAATTGCTGTAAGATCATTTCCCCCTACTTTTTTCCCCTCTCTTTCTCCTTCTCTCGCTCCCTTCTCCCCACCACTTTTATCTCAACTTTGAAAGTGAAATTAGTGAAAAAAAGTAAACTTTAAAAATATTTTCCTTACAGTTCTGGAGTGTCATTGAAATTCATGCAATGGATAGACATTTTTTATGTTTACTTACCATTTTAATTAAAAAACAAAGAAGTAGTCTTCTGATTTATACTAGCCAGCAATGCTGATACAATGAAGCACACCATTAGTGTTATAGGGAAAGGAAGATATTTCTAGGAGTGAAATGGAATTTCTTAGACTTCATTTATATACACTGAAAAATGTTTAAAATCAGTACAAGTTCTAGCATAACAGACCCATAGAAACCTGTTATCTAAGATGTGTCATTAAAGAAGCTGCTCAGAGCCGGGCATGTTGGTGCATGCCTGTAGTCTCAGCTACTGGAGACACCAAGGCAGGAGCATCACAAGCTCAAGAGTTTGGAGACAGCGTAGGCAGCATGGTGAGACTGTCTTTAAAAACCAAGAAAATTATCAACAAATGACTCCATTATGTTTGCCAATTGTGTATTCCAGTATTCATAGTTAACAAAAAGAGTATAAGCAGTTATTTTTCAGAAAACTTAAAAGAATGAGCTTACATGTAATGTAAATTCAACTAATTCAGCAGAACATTTTCTTACTTTTATTTTTATTTTTTGGTGGAACCGGGGATTGAACTCGAGCCCTTTGGCTTGTCAGGAAAGCGCTTATTCCACTGAGCCATCTCCCCGGCTCCTTTTTTCTTATATTTAATTGGTTGGTGTTTCTTTTTTAAAGATGGGGGCCTCTGTATGTAGTTTTGGCTAGCTTTGAACCCCTATGCACTCCAGGCTGGCCTTGAGCTCAAGGTGATCCTCCTGCCTCAGGCTCAGAAGTGCTAAAATTACAGACTTATGACATCACCACCTGCTAGTTAACAGAATACTTGCCTGTACACTCTCACTTTTCACCTGCATGTGAAAGATTGAGCAAATTTTTAATGATAGTTTATTTCTTAAACACTTTTAGCAAAACATTCTTGAATAGTCCAGCACATAGTTTTTTTATGTTATTTTCACTGTTACCTTGATGAAGATCATTGATTATCACTTTGAACCTAAGGGTAAGTCCAGTGTTGTTCTGTAAATTCATATATAGAGAAAAAACTCTTAGAATCAAAAACCTCTTTAAAAAGTCAGGAAAGTGGGGCTGGAGAGATGGCTCAGTGGTCTAAGGCACCTACTTAGAACAAGCTTGGCAAAGCATCAGGGACCGCGGTTCAATCCCCCAGCACCACATGCCAGCCAGCCCCGCCCCCTGGTGGGCTGAGCTGGCCACACACACACACACCACTCTCTCTCTCTCTCTCTCTCTCTCTCTCTCTCTCTCTCTCTCTCTCTCAAATTAAAAAAAAAAAAAAAGTCAGGAAAGTATTTATTTTGTATGTGGCCTGTATATCCCTAGTGCTGAGACCTTCTTAAGGCTGGGCATAAAACGTCTATTCCATGAATAGCCGCTGGAGCCAAGTGGTATAAATCACCTGGATAGGGTTAGTACCTTCAAGATATTTAATAAAGCAACAAGTATACTCATTAGAGTATAAAATATCAAATGAGCATAGAAAGGCTTTCTAAACATAGCTACATTTTATTTGATGAAATCAGGATATTTTATTCATTCCCAGGCATTAGTAAATTTTCCATGTTTAACAGTTTTGCTAATTACATAGTAAAATACGAAGAGTTCCACAAGTTGTTACGTGCATGTTAAAGAATGCATATGTAAGTTCT